AAATATATGAAAAATTGATGTGGGTACTCAAATGATAGCTCTTGATGAGTGTAACATCGAAATGAGTTTATATCTTTAAAAATGTCAATAGTTCACGAGATACAAGGTCATTTCTTAATTATATATCTAGAGGTAGAGCATTTTCAAATGCAGCCTAAATATTTATCATAATAAATTGACTATCGATGAGAATGATATGAGACCATGAAAAGGTACAACTCCAGGTCAAGACTTTTCCAATGATACCAAATTTAACCATAAAAATCCATTTTATTATATAAATACTCTGACTACAAAATTTTACTTATTCTCTTAATAATATAGATTAAAAATTCTATAAATTTATAAAAAAAAAATTATTTCATGTCGTAGAAAAATTATTAATAAATGAAAAAAGTTATCTTGAATCAAGAACAATCAATTAAAAATATTTTACTTTTTTTCTGAGTGTTGCTACTCATTTTCCGTCAATCATCGTATTTATTATTCGTTCATTGGTGAAAAAAAAAATCATACTTCATTGTATTTTCAATAAAAACTGTATATCCCATGATCAATGGCGCATGGATCGTGTTACTGTCATATCAGTGTTTATAGTGACGCATGCTCTGGTTTATAAGAGCCAAAAAAGAGACATGTTTCACGTGTTTACAGACGATGGACGGTGACAGTACCTCCCTGGCCGCCCTCTGACAGGAGTGAGTTGTTCAGTCCTATCATTTATCTCTCTATCTGCGTACAAGTCTACCCAGGACACTGTACTGCGGTTTATTTGTCTTTTAACTAAAGTTGAAGCAAATAAGCTAAATAAAGCAACCAACCAAAAACAAATTTCAATTAAAACCAAAATGTATTTAATTTAAATATCTCTATTTATTAATATAAAAATAATAATTAACAAAAAAAAAAAAAAGAATTTATTGTGCTGTACCGTACGTATAAATGTTATTAATCATAAAATTTAATATAAATACATATTGAGTATATATTGTTACTCCGTTTGTTACTGCCATCAAGATTAAGACTCAAATCTTGCAATTTCTATCGGCCAGTATATTATTTTATTTATTTTAAATAAATTATTATAAAAGTCTTCTAATGACTACGGTTGAATATATTTACTAAGATTGTAAATAATATAATATATATATGTAATTTTATTTAAAAATATTTGGCCGATGGTTAGGGATATTTCTGTGATAGGGTAAAAACAAAATTTTAAATATTATTTCGAGAGTTTTTTATTTATATTTTATATGCATTGTGCATTTAAGTATAAATCATGACTTATAAGTCTATAAAATAATTCTTCACGAAAGAAATTGAGCTTATTTTGACTCTCAATTCAACAATTAGTTCATTGTAACGTAAAATGCTGCTAGATTTGATTTTTTTCATTTTATGCATTCAATTTTTAGGCTACTGATGTACGCAAAGTATTTTTATTAAATTCAATCTGTAATTGGCTTTGAATAATAATTACATAATTGCTGTAGCAAAATTATTTCAATAAGTAAGCGCTTTAATGCTTGTATAAAATATTTCCTACAGAATATGAATCTTGTGTCGTCCAATCTTAACGTTAATGGGATAATTATAATAATAATAATAATAATAACGATAATAATTATAATAATAATCTTCAATGCTAGTACTGTACAAATGTATGTATCGTCTTTTGATATTTACCATAAATTATTTTTATTTATTTTTTGAAAAATGATAAATTAATATTTTGTTTATTATTAAGTTTAAAAAATCACCGAGGTTGTGAAAAAAATTGTAATATATTAATTTACTGTGTTAAAAAAAATATCCAAAGTATTTATTCTATATAAATAATTAACATATAAAGCATATATCACTCGTACGTAAGAAAGACAAAATATAAAATCAAATATTTATAAAACCAAAGAAAGTGATTTTTTGAAAAAAAAAAAAAAAAAATTAATAATATTTATAATACATATAGAAGTATATAATATTTATGTTTGTGAAAAATTATTATGCAATCACTGTTACGCAAGCCCATACTACTGACAAGATTGAAAAATCTTTGTTAGTTTAAGCCGATATAAAAAAAAAAAAAAAAAAAAAAAAAAAAAAGATAAAATTTTCTATCAATGTTATATGTTATATATAACTTTATTAATGGACCAGATTTATATATTATTACAAAATATAAATAAAACGTTAACGTTGAAAATTAAAAATATATATCAATGCTTGGATTGTTAATTATTAATTTAAATTTCACGATTTTATTATAACTTATAAATTATATTAATTATTCATCGAGACAGAAATTTCTCTTGGCAATAAAAAATTTATTTTCATTAATTACTTATAAATTTGTATCAAAAGTTTATTTTATATTAATAACTCTTTGTGGCATATTAATTAATAATTATTAAGTTTTAAATGAAATAATAAAATCTGAGCTTTTAAACAAAGGCTAAATGTTTTTTACCAATTACTTTTTGGAGTAATCGAAATAAGTGTTACAAAGAGCTAAAAGTATGAATAATGTAAAAAAAGCAAACGAAAAAAAAAATATATATATACAGCTAAAAAAAAAAATACTACGTACCATAAATAATTAAAGCCCTGTTTCCTGAAATGAACTAAAGAATCTAATGTACTTTAGGCATTACAGTCAAAATTAAAAGAAGAATACGGTACATCTGTGGATGATCCTGTAGGAACATCAGTAGACCAACCAGTAACTACTTGTACTTCTACTACTGCCTCTACCAAGTCACAACCCCATGCATCAACGACCAATTTAGACCACCATTCACAATCTAAATCTCAATCTCAATCTCAATCCCATACACTTCCTCCTAAAAAGAGTCAGCAAAACGCTAAAAAAAGTATTACCTTCGCGACTCTACCCTCTCCTTACAAATCAACTCAGTGTATAACAACTCCTATTGTTAACTCAATGCCTGCCAAAGATAACCGTCCAATTTCAATGCACGAAATATCTAGTTACTATCCAGCCACTGATTTTTATAAAAAAAATATATCTAACATTGATAATGATAACAACATTAAATCACCGCGTTTTCAACTTCCTCCGACGCCACTGACAACTCCTGTGGCTCGTTTTAAGGATTATGGGTCTAAGAGTATCACCACCTCACTTAACGACTTACAGATTGCACGTTCTGTTGATGGAAAAAATTATAAGGTTGAGGTGAGGTTTTCTTGGCATGTTTAATAACTAAACTAATACTTTATTAACTTTATTTATTTACTTTTCAGGGCTTTTATCTTTAAGTTTTATCTTTATTACACGCGTTTTTATTACTTTACTTCGTGATCATTTTCGACACTTTTTATTTCATACATTAATTTTATTCTTTCTACTGTTTAATTTGTCGTTTATTAATTTTATATTTTTTTACAATTGTTTAGCCTTCACCAACACCTTCACCAACACCAGCTAAAATGTCTGTAAGTGATCGGAAAAGATTATTTGAGTCTGCTGTTGAAGAACATCTTAAACCATCTCCTAAACCAGGTATTTTATAAGTTTATTTAAATTTATAAATTACTTATGTAATAAAATTTATTTTTTTATTTTTACAAAAAGAATTATTAATTTTTACACGACTCATTATGCGAAGCATCAGAGAGTGCTTTATGATCGAAAAATATTTTTCGCACCATTTCGGCAACTATTTTTATTATTATTATCTTGTTAGTTAACGGAATCAAGATATTTTGCAATAGAAACGGAAAAAAACGTCAAAAAATCCTAATCCGATTAAATAGTCACTAATAAATTAAAAAAAAAATTATGTGCGACCTTTTAAAATTCACATTTTGAACTGAAATTTTCAGGAAAACCTTTTTTTTTGGTCTATAAAATTATGACGTAACGAGAAAAAAAATTTTTAAAAAATATTCGATTTTTGAAATTTAAAAAAATTTAGAGCTACCTCTTAAAAATTTTTTTTTAAACTGTTCTTTGGAGAGAGTTCTTAAAACATCAAAAACTAACATTTTTTCACTCGAGACTAAAAAAAAAAAGAATATTCGGTTTTTTTGCGCCACTCTAATATATATTGTGTACATTAATCCCACTAGAGGCTCTTGTGCATTATCGTGTTATTTTAGTTGTTTTATATATTTTTTCACATTCTTTAATTTATAAATATTTCATAATTAAATGAGCATTATGAATCGTGCACTTTTGGATTTTCCAAACTTTTTTTTTAATTATATTCTTCTTACAGATAAAGTGTTCACTTTCCTCAGTCAAGATGAGGTAGAAAAATTGAAACAAGAAGAGGAGAGAAAAATCGCAACCCTCACACGAGATGAGTTAAAATCATGGGCTCAGATGGATATGGAAGGCATGGAAGAGCCTGAAGAAATAATCGAAGAACAGGATAATAGAAGACCTAAGTAAGCGAGTATCTATTTTTTCAACTATAAAACAAAAATGCATCGCTAACTCTTCAATTGAGCACTGTAAAAGTATTTTATTTATTATTTTTATTTGCACCATCGAGGAAGACTGTCTCTACACGAGGTGTACTTTTTTTATACTTTAGCCAGTTGCAATTTATTATTTTAATTTGTTAGTTTTTATTAAATATTATATGTACATTTTAAACTCTCTATGTACATATGTAACTACGTTTTTTTTTATGAAAAAAAAAAAAAAATCTTTTTTAACTAGATTTATTTAACATAAATACACACAAAGTTATCAATTTTTTAAGTTAATAAATAATTTTAAAGGATCAAGTATTTTATAATGTACTTAATTACAAATAGTTGATTGGTATAAAATCTACGAATTCTACGTGTATGAGAAATGACTGCATGCTTTTATTTTGCTTCTTTATGCTTTTCTTGAACATCTTTGAAAAGTTACTTATGTTTTTATGACGCTTTTTGTGCTTAAGAATAATAAAATAAAAGTAATTTAGTTTTTTTACTCCATCTTTTTAAGCGTAAAACAATTAAGGTGAAAGGATAATTATATTATTTCATAAAGGGAACAATTGTACTGTAGTGACGTTTTTATAATTGAATTTTAAATTATGTACGCTAAAAGAAATTTATAAAATGTAACAACCAAGAAAACACTTTTTTTTTTTTAAACTTTTTTTTTTAACCCTGTGCAGTATTTTAGTGAGTGTGTGTGAGAGTTATAAAATTGCTTCTACTAAGAGCAAGAGCTTTTGTATCTATTTTTTTACTGAAATAAATTAACTGCAATTGATATATTAAAAATAAAGAACTTTTTAGTACGCTAATTGATTACCTTACAGTAGCCGATTGAGCTCGCGAAGCTCGTTACCTTCCCTTCAAGGGTATCCGAGTGTCGTAAGAACAGCCAAGGCTGAACGTCGTTTGAAAGAAAAGTTGAAAGAGGAGGTAAGAAATTTTTAATCTTATATTTATTTTCTCATTTGAATTAAACTTTCATTTAAAATTATTTTTCTTTAATAGGGATTGATCTCAGATGAAGATGAAGAAAGTCATTTAAGTCCTGCAGAACAACGTGCGTTGCGTGCGGAAAAAAGAGCTGCTTGGAGACATGCTCGTCTTAAATCGTTAGAACAAGTAAATAATATTTATTTAATTTTTTTCTAGTCAGTTATTTTAAATAAATTTAACTAGCAATCCTGTTGTCACTATGTGACTAATAAATAAAATTTTGCTTTATTAAATAATTAATTTTGGTAAATTGCACTGTACTTTCTTAACTATTGACGTTTTTAAAGATATAAGCTCATCCCGATGTTACGCTCATCGAGACCTTTCATTTAAGTACCCACATCAATTTTTCATATATTTATGTATATGTATTTATGAAAAATTTATCAAAATGCATGTGGGTACTCAAATGAAAGCTCTTGATGAGTGTAACATTGGGATGAGCTTATATCTTAAAAAGTGTCAATAATTAAGAAATGACATTGTATCTTGTGAACTATTGACATTTTTAAAGATATAAGCTCATCTCGATGTTACCCTCGTCGAGACCTTTCATTTGAGTACCCACATGCATTTTGATATATTTTTCATATATACATATATAATATATATAAATATATAAAATATATGAAAAATTAATGTGGGTACTCAAATGAAAGGTCTCGATGAGTGTAACATCGAAATGAGTTTATATCTTGAAAAATGTCAATAGTTCTCAAGATACAAGGTCATTTCTTAATTATGTGTCTAGAGATCGAGTCTTTTCGAATGCAGCCTACGTATCGTAATAAATTGACTATCGGTGAGAATGATATGAAACCTTGAAAAGGTACAAATTCAAGTCAAGATCTTTACAATGACACTAAATTTCACCAAAAAAACCGATTTTATCTTATGACTATTCTGGACACAAAATTTTTCTTATTCTCTCAATAATGTAGATAAATTATTAACAGGATGCATTACAAGCACAAATGGTGATAAAAAAAATGAGTGAAATGGTGGATAGTTCTACAAAATCCGAAGTATTGAATTCAAGTCAAGTGGATCCACCTCAACCAGAAAAAATAGCAGAGGTATTTTAAATAAATTATTTAACTTATAATTTTACAAAATCAATTTTTTTTTTTTTTTTTTTTTCTATAAACTATGAATGATAATTAACTAATAATTGTGTTAAACATCTCACGTTAACACACTTACTAATAGCTCGTTTTAAAATGATTTATTTAATCAATTGATAAACTCTAACTTCCATAAATGTGGAGATTAATTTATTAATAATTAATTAATAATAATAAAAAAAGAATGGAATGCTGAGAGGTGATAACAAATGGGTTGTCGTTTATTTTCTCACAATTATATAGTTTGGTACATTAAGGCCGTCTAGCGCGGATTTTCCAAAACTTGCCGTACGCAGCAAGGTGGGTCCGCCAAAAGCCGTCCGCGAATCTGAAAAAATAGTGGACGAAAAGGTAACTCGGCGTACTGAGGAGTATGTGGACGAAGTCACTGGCGAGCGTCGCGTCCGAACAGTCGAATACGTCGAGAAGCTCATTGAGCGCGAGGTAGTAAATCATCAACAACAACATCATCAAAAGCTGCAAAGTCACTTAATTAAATTAATATTATCACAACACATTTTGTGAACGATCATGCACCATTTTATTAGTCGTTTCTTTTTGTTTTCATTGCATTATTCACCAGCTGTATATTTTTTATCATGTCGTACGCCAAAGAGTGCTGGCAAGCTCGATAAAAATATTTTATAATTGTCCACAAATAAATTTTATTTTTACTAGTCAATATTTTTAATTGGATGCACCGATTGATTTTTTTTTTCTAATAAAATCAACAAATGATAGGCCAGATTCTTCGGGACGACGGATTGCTCATTTATTGCACAATGGCTTTTATTTTTTTGCATGCTACATTTAATAACTAACAACTAATAATTATTATTAATTATTAATATTAATAATTATATTATTATTACACACTGATACTTATTGTTACAAGATACCAACACATGCACCAGGAATGCAACTCACAATGCACTGACTCAGCACCGTTTCATAATTATTTTATTCTTCACTTCTATCGGTATGGTTTTTCAATTCTGGTCATTTTTCTTCTCTCTTTCTTTCGCTCTGATAAAAAAAAAAGTAATTAATACTAATAATTATTACTTGGTATTAAATATTAAAAAAGGCTATTCAGCATCCGCCAAGATGGAAGGTAGATTTCATATAATCCATGATTTTAATAACAATGTTATAAATAATTAGAACTGATTTAGATGACATTTAGCTTTTTAAATTTTTGTTGTAATTGTTGAAAAGTAAATTTATTATACACTGAGACAAAAAATACTTTTATTAAGAAAATTTTCTTGATACAAGAAGTTATGTTCTTGAAAATTTTCAAGAATATATATTCTTAGCTCAAGAAATTGTTAAATTGATTGAAAATAATTTTTATCTAATTTAAATAAAGCTATTCTTTTGTTTATTTATCATCCAAAGATAAATATTGATATTCTTCTCTTCAGAAATTAATAATTAATATTCATTAAGAATTGTGGGAGTTACATATATAAACTTCCAAATCAATGTCATTTTTAAGCCTAGACTAAATAATTAATTTGGTAACGAAATTCTATGTGAATTTCCACACAAGGGCCAATGCAATAGATAGATTTTATGAAATCTACCTAAAAAATAAAGAATTGCCTTGTAATTATTATTTTTAGGTACTTAATTGAATTTAAACTAACAAAAGTTGAAAAAAAAAAAAATTAGCCCATAGAATAATCAGTAATTAGATTTATGATAGAATTTTGGAGTGTATTTATTTTAGTTTGTTAGGCTTTTTAAAAATTATTTTATTTACTTATTAATTAAGTTGGAATTTTACTTTTAAACAGGTCGAAACACTGAGAGAAAAAATCATATCGCTGGAGTTGAGCAACGCAGAGGAAGAAGTTGATACCGGAAAGCTTGGAGGGGACAGTGAACCAGAAAGCGAAAGTGAAGATTTTACTGGGCAAGATCTTTCAACTAGTGTCGCAGTCGAGAGTTCAGACTCGTTTATTTGTACGAGCCCGACGACGGAAACTGTACCGAGTATCGGGAAAAACGCGGGTCCAAATAATTCATCTGTAGCAAAAAAGAAAAAGCGAAAGCGCTCGAAAAAAGGACGGAATTAAAATAAATTAATTTAGTCTGGTGCGATTATATTAATATTTAATATTGTATAGTATATATACAATTTTAGATAGGGTTTTAGGCACTAAAGATCAAATTTTTATAATAAAAATGGATTATTTAAATTTATAAATAATATATTAATGTAGTTATTGATGAAAATGAAATCAAGTAACTTAAAAGTGTTGTAATAACTATAAGATAATATTGTTGCAATTGACGTATGAAATTGTGTATTTATATATTTTTACTGAGCAACAATTGATATAGAATGATTTTTAAAATAATTTTGACTTTTTTTAAATTTTATTTTACCGAATTTTATACATATATTTTTATGACAAGCCTTTGGGATAGATTTTCAACTAGCACAGTTTATACTTATCATCTGATAGTATCAACTGATTAATTAATTAATTAATTTAATATGACATCAATATACACATTCCTAGTATCTATTTTGTAACAATAGACATCACATAATAAATAAATGAATAAAATTGCAGCATTAACTCTTTGTAACTTTTATAAGCTGCTGATCTTGCCCCCAGTGACTATGTTAGATTAAACCTTTTAAGAATAAAATAAAAAAGAACTTAATGTATGGACTTGAGTGAAATAATTATTGGTTTTTGTTTTAAACCATAAGCGAAAGATTTATGTCATAGAAAAAGTAACTTGAAAGTTATTTTAAACAGCGTGTAAAAATGTTTTATTTATTTGAGAACAATACTAAGTAGATAGGAGAAGATTTTATTAAATTTTAATTCATGAAAATTGAATCCCGGAAAAAATATTAAAGTTATGAAAAATTCATATTATTTCATTGAAATGATTATAAAATAATAATAATAATAATAATATGAAAAAAAATTTTTTTTTTGTAACAAAAAATGAAGCGATCATTCTGGGGGTGCTTGTTTTTCAGGAAAATTGTGGGTATGATACAATTATTATTATTATAATTTTTATTTTATAATAATTTTAATAAAATAATATGAATTATTCATAACTTTAATATTTTTTCCAGGTCTATTTTTTGCGATTACCATGAAAATTTTAACCATTTATGTTTATGTTATTTTTTTTTTTTTATATGAATATATATTTTAATAAATATTAAGAATAGCTTCAGAATTTATTTTGCTGTATTATGGGTGCAAATGATTTTTTTATTATTATTATTATAATTATAAAGATTTTTTAATTAATTTTTACATTGATTTATAATTTACAAAAAAGTTTATTAACCAAAATTTAAATTAAAATCTTGGGCATTTAAGAAGAAAATTTTTGGCCTCATAATTGCTTGACATTAAAATTTTATTTTTAAAATAATTTTTTATGCCGAAGATTTTAAATTTAAATGAAATGATTTGATGTTTGTTACTTATGAAGATAAATAAGTGACATGGCCTTATTATGAATAGTATTATGTTTGTAACGAATGTTTACAATATTTTCATATGTCGTTGCACATGTTGTTGATCGATACATATATATATTATAGTAAATAATGTATAAAACAAATAATAATTATGTTAAAAACTATATGAGTGCTTGAGAGTTGAAACATCTATCCGTGCGGCTGTAGCTACAAGAGTTCGTTGAGCGAGGGACCAAGAATTTATAAATAAATAAATCAATCGCAAACGTCTCTATCATTAATTAAAGTAAACTACATCCAATTTATCAGACGCTTGTGGCTTAGTATTTTTTTTTTTTATTATTATTAAATTAACACATCTAAGTTAATAATAATTAAAAAAATAAAGAAAAATACGGCGTATTATTACTTATGAGTCAATTGCACTGTTATATCCATCGTTAAAAATTATTATTTTAATTATTACTTCAATAATCGTGAAGAGTAAGGTTGATATTGTTTTAAAAATGGACAAATGGGTTTTAAGTGCGACGTTAGAATTAATTATTGGACTTTAATTAAAAAAAAAGTATTTAATATTTTAGATTGAAAGTATATATTATATAAATATATTTATTACTGTCAACTATGTCTTTATTAAGCAATATTTATACGTTTTGTAATGCTGAATCCGTATATTTGTAAACAAAAATATCATGCATATAAATAATCACTGAAATTAAAAAGATACTAAACAATTTATATTATAATATTTATTGTAAAAAATAATCAGTCTTGCTTTTCTTTACTAAATTACTATTTTTTCGGAGCAATTATTCCCTCCAGTTGAGTCTGTAAATTATAATTAATGTTATTTTTATCACAAAAAAAAATTTACTTGTAAAAAAATTAATATTTAATTTAACCTTTAGTTGCTGATTAGTTTTTTTCAAAAATTGTATCTCTTCATTGTGCTTTTTTTCTTCAGCTTCGCGCAACTCTGCGGAACGTCTTTCAGCTTGGTCAAATTTTTGCCGCAATTCAGCTACTGTTTTTTCCAACTCGGTTTTTTCAAGTCGTAATTCTTCCGCTGTAGCTATTAAATCTTCCTTACCTTCTTCGGCCTATTAATTATTATTTTAATTAATTAATAAACTCTCTTCTTACAGAAGATAAATTAAAATTATAAAAAACAGTACCTGCAATGCTTTGCGCATTCCAAAGGCAATACTACTTTGATAAAGTGTTTGATAAGCAGCCATCGTCATTTTTACTTCATCGCGAACTCGTAGTAATAATAATCCACGCTCTGCGCAATTTACTGTCACTTGCCTAATTATTTCATCTGTTATAAATTATGAAATTTATAATTTTAATTACTCAGACAAATTTTAAATTTGAAAATAATATTCACCGAAACATTGAGAATAAAGTTCACGGCGAACCGGACAAATTCCAGTTTCTCGGGCTTGTCTCTGCTGCAGTCTCATGTCCAATTGTTCTTGCAAATTTATAACATCCAGTCTAGTTGCAGGAGTACTGGAAACAAACTGGGTCCAAATTTGTCCATCTTCCTCCCATTCTTTCGGAGGCAAAATTCCATTCAGTATTTCAGCGGTTTCGCGTCTTATATCAGCAGTCACCGGCGAAGATTGACCTTTACATGACGATTTCTTCCCTGATTTTTCTTTAGGAGTTTTTTCCGGATGCTTTGTGACCAACACGGGGTTGTCGTATTTCACCAATGTATTTGTCGAAGGGATTATACGTTCTTGTGCAACCGTAGCCATTTTTTTTTTAAATAATAGTTTTTATCGGTAAGTAAAAGATTAAATGTCAAGTTTACTGCACGTGTTTAGTAAATTGGGCGTTGCTATGACAATATTGATCAATTGTTTTTATTGTTTGGATTAAATTTATATCTACTTTATTAATTATCGTTATTAATAATTAAATAATTAGTTTTTTTTCTAATAAATTTTATTTAATAAAATTTATAATAAAATTAAATGATTTATAAAAAAATTTTCTTCTTTGTAAATAAAATTATAATTATAAGTATAAATTATAATTAAGTAAGATTAAAAGAATAAATACAAAAAGAAATTTTTATTTGCATTTATATTATTTAAAAAATAATTGTTTTATTTTTAATTCTATTCAAATTTTAAATTTTGCGCGGTGCGCGCGCGCCTCTCGATCTTGACCAATAAGGAATCAGCAACCATATTTCCGATATTTTGATACTTATTTCAGAATTAATTATTAATTAAAAGTTAATTTATTAATTAATAATATTAAAATTAAAATATAACAATAATATCTTTATTTTAATGATATAATCGTAAATTTAAGTAGTAAAAATTTTGAAATGATTCGACCAATCGCAGGCCTGAAATTCAAAATGTTACTGCGCATCCATTTTGCGTCACTTCTAGCCGTTACACATTTATTCTATTTATTCGGCTCCCAGGGACACGGAACTAAGAAATGCAATTTAGCTCTGCCATTAATGTAATTACTTATTGTTTTCACTGATCATTTTTAATTGATTTAAGTATTTTTGTACATAATTAGTTAACCGGGAGCTGTCTATATAATAGTTTCAATAAATTATCTTTTATAAATAATTTAATTTGTCTGTCAATATGAACGTACGGACGTTCGACAGACTTGAACTACTAGTTCATAAAATAGCATAAATTTTTATTGTTTAAAGATTTTTATCAACATACTTTTGGTCAAAAAGATTAAAATTGAATATTTAGATAATAAATTTTAAATGCTAAATTATAAATTTAGCTAATAAATGTTCTGTCAGATACATTGCTACTTTAGTTCGATCATGTCAGTGGGAGCTGATGATATCTTGTGAATTTAAAAAAAATCCAGAAATTTCTCAACTGACAAAAAGATACTTCTGTCTATTTTTTTATGGAACATTTTCAAGTAAAATTCTAGAAATTGACAGATGTCTGTTAATCTCAGAATCATTAAATATAAAACTCCAATAGTCACGCGGCGCAGATTTATTAAGACTTGAGCGTTTAAATAATTATTAAGTCATTTAATAAAGACAAAAAAAATTTTGTTCAGTTGATTTTATTTTTATCCTAGTGAATATATAAATAAGTTTGTTAAGTAATGATAATCAAAAACTATAATGCAGGTAATGAAGTAGTGAGTTCTTGAAGTGAAGTGAAGTAGTGTTTTAAGTAAAGTGGCAGTTTAAATGATTAGTGATTAAAAAAAAGCTGGTCCAGATCAATGACTTCTGATGCTGAGTCTTACTGATGAATCTTCCACCAAGGTTAGTCAATTAAAAATCCAAATTTATTGAATACATGAAATTTTATAATGAAAATTAAGTTAGCCGACGTTTTTACTTTTTTTTTTTCATTAATTAAATTAGAACAAAAAAATTATTTTTTAAGAATTGCACTTATAGTTATTTAAGTTTTTTACAAATGAAATTTAAAAAAAATTTTTTCAATGAAAAAAATTCTAAAAATTTTTAGATGTCGGCTAACTTAATTTTCATAATTTTATATTCATTAAACTGATGTGAATTTTTTTTTTGTTTCATGAAAACCAGATAAGTAACGACCTAACGTGTTCCGAGCTTTTCTTGGTGTGGTGAGTGACAAAACTTATGTTTTTCCATGAATGACCAAATTTTATAAGATTATTTTATTTATTTATTTAAAAATATTTTATTTATGATTTATGATACAAAAAATTATTTTAATGATATCTTAAACTTGGTTCAATCTGACAATTTAAGTCACCGAGTACATTAACAGCTAGTGCGTATAAAATAAAAATTTACAACTCAGAATGTCGTTCTAAGATTCGGGATTCAAGATTTGCGTGGAGTTTTTCAACAGTACGAGCGTGCTTTTTAATATTTTCTCTGGTAGTATTATCTGGGTCGTAGGTTTTCCCATTCTGAGCGGCGTCTAAAGCTGCCTGGCTGTGCATATGACGCAATTTTAATAATCTTGTTTGATAATGGTGAAGTTCTTCCTATAAATTTTAAACAAAAAAGTAAATTAATAATTTTGTTTAATTATTGAACAAATTATTTCTATAAACAATGTTTACTTTTAAAGAGTCAAGCTCATTTTTAGTAAATTGCGCAGCTTTGGCTATTCTCCACAATCCCTGGACTTTTGGTTCAACAAATTCTTGATGGTCTGGACCTTCAGCAGTCTTTTTATCTAACTGATCGTATCCGCTCTTTATTTGATGATGTTTTTCTCTAGAATTTTTTAGAAAGTTACAAATAAGATGACAATCAAATTAAATTTTTTGCTAACTAGAATTAATTATAGAATTTTACCGTAATAAATTAGCTTTGGAAACATAATCTTTTTTAGTAGGAATCGCGTTAGATTCTTCATCAGACTCTTCTTTTTCGTCAATTTCATTCCAACTAGGATGATCTTCTTCAATACTGTCTAAGACATTCAAATAAAATAGTTAAAATAATAAATCATTGACTAAAATAATCCTATAAATAAATAATGACAAAAAAATTACTTTTATACGCTTCAGGATCTCCATTTTCGACCTCAGATAAAATACTCATGTATTCATCAATTTTGTCTTGATGATGTGAAAACTCTTGCTTCAGAGCTTCTAATTCTTCAGCTGTTGATATAAACATTTCAAATATTAATAATTTAAAAAATAACTAGACAGAATTTTTTTATAATAGTTTCAGTTATTAAGAATATCATCATTTTAATTAAAGCATTAAAATACGTTTTAGCTTTACTACAATGATAATAAAATATCTGTTTTGTTTTATAATTATTCAGAAGATAAGATAAGCAGGCAAATAAATTAAATATCTACCAAAAGTAGAGAAAATAACTTTGCAATTGTGGGTTTTGAAAAATTACTCTAGAAGCTCCCAGAAAATTATAAAATAACAGATGTTAAATTATTTTTATCAAACTAATGAGTAACTTTTGATAAAAAAAATTAATAATCATTTACCAGTAAAGCCAGCATTTTCTGCTTTTGCCCACAATTTATTGAGCTTTTTGTCTTTAAACAAATCTTTGGCTACATAATTGCTGCCATCATTAAGAGGCTTATGCCGTTTCAGCAATTCTGGGTCATCAGTCTCCGCGAAGTGTTCTAATAACCCATAAGTACTCATTATTCCGATCAATTTCTTCCTCAATCTGGCAGCTTTCAAGCCATCTGCGTCTTTTCCTTCTTCTTTGTAGTGTTTGTAAGCCAACTCTTCTTTGTCATGCATCTTTAAATCACTGAACAATGATAGCAGTTTCACATCCGTTAGTCTCTAAAATTAATCAATCAATTAAATAAAATATTACATAAATAATGAATAGGTAAAATAATTGTAACTCACATGCTTCGCTTTGGTCCAGACTAAATTTAACTTAGCCATGCGATAGGGTTTCTCAAGCTCTCTAACAGAAACAGGCACTGGAATTTCTTTGGAGTCATCATTTTTTTTATCAGTCGCTTTATTTGCGGCCGCGGAATATTTGTTGAGCCCCTCACACTCATTAATTATAAATATTGCACTTAAGCTTAAAATAAAAAACACCGAGACCAATTTCGATATCATTTTAATGTTTTACTTCAAACATAAGCACACGTGCGTTCTTATCAGCTGACTAGATGCCAATGGAATTAAATGTGCCAGTCAGTACCAGCCGTCTCCTTTGTTTACGTCATCATCAAAAATAAATGTTTTGATAGAACAGAAAATTTTCTTACCTTCAAGTCGGTCAAATCACAACAAAATCAAAACAAAACTACCACAAAATATCTCAGGTCGGTAAGAAAATTTTTTAGAAGCTTCTTTTGTTTGCTCAAAGATGACACTCAAAAAAAATTTAAAATTTTCGGAAAATAATATTTAATTTTCTTTCAAAAAGACAAATTTTATAAAATTGATTGTTTTTAGTTCAATTTACAGAAATTTAATTTTCAAAAGAATGTTAAAATTCTAAATAGCGATTAATTTTAGATTAAACTTGATCTAATTTTCTAAAAAAAAAAAAAAAAAAATTATATAATATGTAAATATAAAAATTTAAACTTCACATAATTTTGACAAATTTTTTCTTGATGATTTAATAAGAATCATTTAGTAAAAAAAAGAAATAAGATTATTGAATGTAGCGCCAGGGTAAAAAAAATAAATATATAGAATTTGCACCCTGCTGAGCCGCCTAATTGCCTCGGCTCGTTGGTTAGCTCAAAACGTTACTCGAAAAACCCACGAGGTCTAGTCAGGTTGCCCTTGAACTCTTGTAAATTTTCAGCACTCGCATGCCTCGCGTTTATTAATATGAGACTTAGACTCTTCTTCTATTATATTATAATTTATAAACATATATATAATACTTTTGACTTAAACTCTATACCTAATACACTACTCATACCTTCACAAGCATCACTACTGATACATTTAATATATCTATCTGTCTACTGATATATAGTAATAATATTAGTTAGTTGGCCTCCGCCCCTCGACCCACTAAACAAGCAACGTCATCTATCACCACGCGAAACGATATATTTGTTTTTCGTAGACCTATCTAATTATTTACGAGCCCCAGTCAAGTCCCAAGAGACTCGAGATCAGTGAGGACATAACGAGAAGATGAAGAACCATCAGACATCCAACTAAATATTTTCCCCAAGGAAAATTAATTTTTCCATTTTTTCTTTAGCCTAGAGAAGAAAAAAAAACAATAAGAAAACGTAAATAGATAATTATTTCTAAATAGCCGGTTAATTTCGATGATCAAGAGGAGGAGGACAGAAATAAGTGAAGACTTTACTGAAACATGTAATTATAAAAATGACGGGCGTTGCTTTGGTTCGATGGTGTGTCCACCTGATACACCTTGCGTGAAACCAAGAGTCTTTACTCGGTCTTCTCTCGTACATGGCATGGCGCCCCCTCAGGCTCTCTCCAAGCCCATCACTCTGCCCCTCGAACCCTGGGAATGATAAATTACGGTTGAGATATCGGCACCTCCTCCGTGAGTAAGTGCATCGGCAAAAACAGTACCATCAACAGTCACTTCGGTTTACCTTTTTTTTTTTCGAATTATTTTTCTTCTCAATCTTCCTCCGAGCGCTTCGCTAGCTCAGCTTTTGTGCATCCAGCAAAGCAAACTCTGCACCAGTTAAAAGAACACGCGGCATCAATCTTTCTGCGTAAGCAAATCCAGACCAGATACTCTGATGCTGACTGAGTACTTGATGCTCAGCCATTCCTCGAGATCAGCTGTCTCTCCGACTCCTTTCAAAGTCAATCCGAGTGTCGAGATATGTCTCGCAACTTGTTTCCGTGTTTGCTGCCCATTTTTTCATCGTCATTATCATTATCTCCTTTCTGGATAGTGAGAACTTTATTTTCTTCAATAATTTATTTAGCTGGTCTTATAGTTTGATGCTGCGTCGAAGTACAACAGCTTGTTTGCAATTAGAAAGCAAATTAATTGAAAAAAAAAAAAAAAAAAAAAAAAAAAAAAACTTGTGTTTTATGATATCTGATGGAAACAATTAAGAGTTTTGCAGCAGCTAATTGTGAGATTGAATGATAATGAGCTGAAAACAATGCGTGTAAATTGTAAATACATGGTTCACCCGAAAGTTGTTAGTGGTCTGAGGATAATTATTGACAGATAGAAGGTATCTTTAGGTAGAAAAATTCGTTACGACTTACGAGTTACAAGTGTGTGTTTTCTTGTTGTTTGTATCAGACATAGTTAAAAATCTTTTGTTGTTTAATTTTTTTGGTTTGTTCTTCTCGGGATCCGCAAATATTCCTCGGGGAATCAGACTCGGTATGGACTCGACTCGAGGGACGATGAAAACAATGAAGGACTGATGAGAGAAACAATGGAGAACGGTGGAAGAAAAAACAATGGATTCTATTAGCATCTATACCTGAATCTTGTGTGCTCTTTTATTGAGGAAAAAATTGAATAATAAGATTTAAATAGTTTTGTTTTCTTTTTTTCACCCGTTCTTATCCTGCTTTATGTCCATATATATATGTTTAGTTTATAAACTATTTTTTATTTGTTCTACTTTATTTTTTGATTGTGTATGGAGACGGGATATATATATTTGGGCACGAGGTACAAATGTTATGACAGTGAAATATTATTTTCAAGGATTAGGCTACGGGGCACCTTATTGTTTTACAGAATTTCTCCAAATGTATCTGTGTAGTATACTTTACAGTTGCTGTGTCTTTAGGCGTGTATTCTTCCGTGTCTGTTTCAAGCATATACTTATAATTTTTGCTTATGTACACACAGACTTTTGACGCCTGAGTTGTTTGAAATTTTCACGCTCAATATTATATAGTCTTTTGGAAATTATAAATTATTTACGTGGTTTTTCAATTTTCCACGTCTTTTTAGTAGGATAATTTTTTTTAAATTGTCTATTGTCTTCTTGTTCAAACTTTAGACTAAAAAGTCTGCGGTTGAAATGTTTGTTTTGTTTTTTTGGAGATAAAAAATTTGCTATCACCAATCGTTGATTCTGGGACTTATGTAAACAATTTTTCGCTTCGACGAGGCAAAACATGACAGGTTAATGTATGTAATAATGTAATTACTTGTTGATTGTTCAAAAGGAGTGAAAAAAAGAATTTACGAACCGTGATCGACATTCTTTTAGGAGTAAGATATGTAACCGAAGAATTTACGATTGTTATGCTATGGCACTATTTGAATTCGTTTAGTACTTTTGTTTTTTGACTTCCTGCTTGAAAATTTCTTTTAAAAAAGGAGAAAATATCAATTAAATCAATTTTTTTTATATTTTAAAAATAATAATTAATTTTTTTAATCATAATTCTACTCACATTTTTTAGCGAAATGTATTTTTTTTTAAAGTTAAATAACTGACAATGGATCAAAAACACAAATGACCATTAGATAACTTGTTTTTTTAAAATCATTTAAGTTTCAATTTAAAATATAAAATTAGTCGGATTATAAATGATATTTAGTAACACACTGAGAGAGGCGTGAATCAAGTAGACATACTTAATATTGTTGCTAGCACTAAATCGCGCAATTCATGACACGAGATATGTCGCGCCCCATTCTATAAAGATCGTTTTTCTCTCCCCAGGACGCTAAACGTTTTTCATCTTGAAATATTTTCGTCTAAGTGTCGAATCATGACAAGCTTTTTTCTGGTTAATCTGTCGTCACTCTCAGCTAGCCAAGCGTTTTTTCTTTAATAATTTTTCCGAGCGGACAAAGTCAAACAAAAAGACCTCAGACGAGTTACGAAGAAAGTTACGTGATTAATAAATAAAAACAAAAGTCAGATCTTGAGAGATTATCTTTCTCTGAAAGGTGTCTACAATACGTGTCGGACAATTGTTTAAGATAACGTTAACAAACGAGCGTTCTAAAATTAAGAAAACTCAGAATTAAAAATAGTGTCGTCTGTATTTTCGGTGGCACGAGCCAGGGGATTTTGTCATCTTTTACAGTAAACAATAATGGTCTTTTTTGATGATTCTCATGCGATAACACCTTGTGGAATACAGAAAGATAGAAAACATGGAGCATGTAATGGTAGTCGTGACTAGATAGCTTATACAAAATCTAAATAAAACCTCAAAGTATACTCATACAGTATACATATAGTATTCTACACCGTTTGCATATTTTATTTTCTTAGTTTTCTCTGTTTTTAAAATTTTTCTCAATTCTCGACTGGATGTACTCTACAGGCGATGAGTCTACACATAACGATGATCAGATAATCTAAAAAACGTCCTCGTTGACTTCACTGATCATCAGCTATTCCTAGTACTACACAAGTTCCGACAAGCAACCTCGGTTTTTAACATGATCACTAGACTTGCTTTTTTACCAAAAAAGTGCCGCAAGAGATTAAGAGAAAAAAAATGTTTTCAGGTACGATACCTCTCACTTATTTCTGACATGTCGTTTTGCTTTTTGAGAAATGCATTTTCCTCTTCATTCTTCATCTACTCCATTTGTCTCAATTTACTATAAGATGATCAGTAGCTTAGATTTTCTGCTTTTATCATTTAACTTAAGTTGTTTTTGTTTTCATAAACAGTTCATTCTAAAATTTATTTATTTAAGTAAATTTTAAAAATTTTTTTATTACTTTGCTGATGATCACTGATCGATCGATTAGTTGTTGCGTCTGGCTGAAATTTGGTTTTCAAATTATATAAATTTGTATTTAGTTTATACACGTAACTGTTTGTGTGATCGGTATCTATTTTAGTTATGCCGGTGTTGAGTTAAAGCTGCTGTATAGTGAAGTGTGTCTCTTTTTAAACAGGTCGCACTGGAGGTCAGATTGGATTCATCATTCGTCTGTTTTTCCGAGACGATCATCATCATCATCATTATCATCATCAGAATTTTTATCCTCAATTCTCGATCCTCGTAATCGAGTAGCCGCCTGGTATCGATCACAAAGATACATAAATCCATTTCTAAACTATATTTACAGCAGAATCGTTTTGCCGTAACATTTTATGTTTTATTTTATTTTAAACCTTTTATCAATGTCTACCGGAGTTTTATATCTGTC